TTGACTGGCAAACTGTGACTCTTCAGTCCGCAGGCCAACGCTCTATCTGCTGAGCCAAACCAGCCAGGGTGAAACAGATGCTTGTTAAACCTTTTCACTCTATTCATGTCTACTAACCTATTTCCTGTCTCTGTGCTTTGATATTGATCAGTGCTTCAGATATTTTACTCTCTTCATTCTGGTCTCCTCTGCTGTTAAGCCTGTTTGTTGAGTTAATTTAAATTATTATATGTCTTCTGAGTTGTCACAGATGCTGAATTCTTATTCTTTTTAATTCATATTTTCAAAAACTTTTATTTCTTCAGACATTTGTTTTCTGTGTATAATTCCAATAGGTGAAGTCTTTGCAGATCTGGTCCTTATATGTTATTCCTCTTGGTTCTCTTAGCACTTTGTTCTTTTTGTTTAACTCTGTAGGAATTTCCTGAGGCCTGAGTTGAAGATAGGTTCTTCCAGCCCGGCCGGTGTGGCTCAGTGGTGGAGCATCGACCTATGAACCAGAAGGTCACAGTTCGATTCCCGGTCAGGGCACATGGCTGGGTTGCTGGCTCAGTCCCTGGTGTGGGGCATGTGGGAGGCAGCTGATCAATAATTCTCATCAATGAGGTTTCTATCTCCCTTCTTCTCTGAAATTTATATATAAAGGAAAACAAAAAGATAGGCTCTTGCAGAAAGGATTTGTATTTCTACTGCTCTGGGGCTACTACCAGCCTAGATCTCTTTAAACTTTACTTTTAGGTTCTATCATCCAATCCAGTTTCAGTCTGTCAAACAGGGTGAGGGTGGACTGGCCACAGTCTCTGAGTTTAAGACAGTTTTCTCAGCTTATTGAGGCTCGAGGCCTGGCTGGCCAGGGTTCGTGGGAGGGACCTTCTCTTAGGTTTCTACTTGGGCTGATGGATGTTGTTCTTTGGGTTTGGCTCTGGAGGCTTTTCTGATGTTCAGTTCTGTAGTTTTGGCAAATGCCCTTTAGGCCAAAGCTGACTTCAGAGAGACAGCCTCCCTGGGGGCCTCCTTTCACTTAGTGTTCACCAGCTGAACTGATTAAAGACATGTTTGTTCTAGAAAGGAAACCTTTGGAGCAGCGCTTGTCAACCGGTGGCACGGACCACTGGTGGTCCATGAGGTCCGAAAGGTTGGCGACCTCCGTTCTAGTTAATATAGCATTTTTAGCTTTTCTATAGCAGGAGCGCCAAAGTACCTTGTCTACCAGAGTACAGGAAATGAATTTCTTCTTAAGGAATATTTTTAAAATATGTTTTAATTCTCAGTGAACAGACTAAAAGGAATTTGAAATCTTAAGAACTTCTATTAGTGAAATTTTTCCCGTTTAAAATATACTGGAACTTAAAATGTTTTGTGGACCAATTCAGTCAGTCTCTTTTCTTAGTGATGCTAAGTGTTGAAAACGGGAGATTTAATCAGATTCTTGTTGCTCTCAGTAGCAGTAAAGTAAAATTGTACTTTATTCTCCAGCACTTTCTACACCCAAGTGTCTAAAATATTTCATTTAAAGTGGTTATTATTTCCATAAGCCAAATGCTGTTTATAGGTTAACATTGTTTTCTAACAATCAAATATTAACATTTATGCTTTGGTACTTGACTTAAAAATATTTATTATAAAAAATATGTTTTTATTGATTCAGAGAGAGAAAGGAAGGGAGAGGGAGAGAGAGATAGAAACATCCATGAGAGAAATATCATCAAATAGTTGCCTCCTGCACACTCCCTGCTGGGGATGGAGTCTGAAACCCGGCTTGTGTCCTGACCGGGAATTGAACCAGTGACCTCCTGGTGCATGGGTCGACACTCAACCACTGAGCGACACTGGCCAGGATGGATCGCTTTTTATTTAAAACATCTTTCCCTCCTGATTATACAGCTATGTTCAGTATAGAAAATCATAGAAAATAAATACACTGAAAATAAATTAAAAATTGACCACAATCTCCTTCCTTAGAGATAGAAGTTAGCATTTTATTATCTACTAGAGGCCCAGTGCATGAAATTTGTGCATTGGTGGGGGGGGTCCCCTCAGCCCAGCCCACACCCTCTCCAATCTGGGACATCCCTCTCACAATCCTGGACTGCTGGCTTCTAATCGCTCACCTGCCTGCTGGCCTGATTGCCCCTCACTGCCTCTGCATGCTGGCCTGATTGCCCCTAACTGTCCCCCCTGCCGGCCTGGTCACCCCTAATTGCACCCCACTGCTGGCCAGGTTACCCCCAGCTGCCCCCTCCCTGATAGCCTGGTCACTCCTTACTGCCCCCCCTGCTGGCCAGGTCGCTCCTCAACTGTCCCCCTCTGCCCACCTGGTCGCCCCCAACTTCACCCCCCGCTGACCAGGTTGCCTCTTACTGCCCCCCTGCCAGCCTGGTTGCCCCCAACTGCCCCCCTCTGCCAGCCTGGTCACCCCTAACTGTCATTTGGTCATCCCTCACTAACCCCCCCTGCCAGCCTGGTCACCCCACGCAGCTTGCTGTTCAGTCGTTTGGTCATTCCTCACTAACCCCCCCTGCTGGCCTGGTCACCCCATGCAGCCTGCTTGTTCAGTCGTTTGGTTGTCCCTCACTAACCTCCCTGCTGGCCTGGTCGTAGGCAGCCATCTTGTGAGGGTTAATTTACATATTACCTCTTTATTATATAGGACTAGAGGCCCGGTGCACAAAAAT